AGTTTGCCTCGCCTTTTTGGATCCTAGTTAACTACGCCCTAAACTATATTATTTATTAATAAAAAACATACATTACCTGCCAGGCTTCTAACTATACGTTCCACTTCACTTTGTATAGTTTTATCTATCCCAGAACGACCTTGGATCTCTAATACAATTTGGTTTATCCGTTTTTCACGTTACTTTCAATTAGAATGGATGTCTTGTACTCTATTGTTCCGACGCTATCTCTAGATCCAACCTGCTTCTATTAGAATAATTGGTGTCTCAAAATGCAAAGGTTACGTTTTGTATTCCTGAGTAGTCACGATGATGACGTTTGTCTTTTAGAACGTCACTTAAGTAAGTGATTAATTTCCAATTCCTGTGTTAAATACACTCCGGATCAGACAAGATTCCATACAATTCAAATATTAATAACCCCGACATAGGTATGTCTTTATTTTATTGAATCAACTGCGAGTATTTTACTGTAACATATTCAATTTATGATTCCTTGATTTCCTCATGAATATATTTTGTATATATCCTTATTTATTTCGTAACAATACGTTCCATATGTTGCGAGTGAACTGTAAGATCTATATTTTCGCAGAATTGGAAAAGTTTGTAATTATTTGACGGTAATATTTGCAAATTACAGTTCTCATAAATATCGAAACTAGTCCGTAACGTTTTTATTCAATTATCACGAAATACATTCCCTACTATCTCAAGCTTTTGAAACATGTAAAAGGTTCACAACTTATCATGGTTCTTCGATGTCTTATCGATATCTATCCCAATTGAGCTTATTTATGAAAGCAAACTTCTGATTCATTGAGCATATAAGATAACGTATCTTCGAAAGCGTTTCTTAATGTTTCTGTCTACGGCGCCTGACATGAAAATATGTGATTTTACTATTGCGAAGATAATTAAATGCGCTTTAAAGGGATTACATATTGTAATTCGTAGTGATTCCTTTTGTTTTTATCTATATTCCGTCTCATTTCTTTGACAGATTTTACTATCGTGCCATTTCGTAAGATTTCAATTTTGATTTGATTTAGGAGATAAGCCACGATATCCCTTTTCAAATTATACCGAGATCCTTTGAATTACCCCTAAAATTCTCACCTCGTCTGCCCTTGATTTTTCAGATCGAAGCCAAAAAGTAATCAATCAAACACAACACAAAAATAAACAAGCAAAAAACAAATACATACGAAAAGCAAGCAATAAAAGTAAAGAATAAAACTCACAAAAGAAACAGGGTTCTCAGAGGAAAAACGGGACCGACACCCGAAGTTAAGAATTCACGAGGTGTCTCGAAGTAATAAAGTACCTTCAGTGATTTGTTCAAGCAATCATTTTGCTAGAAATCCATCACTGATTTGATTGATTAAAACGTCGAGGCATCAATCGGTGGGGCATGACCACCCATGAGTAGTAGGTCGTAAAGCCTCCAATACGTATGCGCTTCACGTCACTTCCATCCCACTTTTATTAATCGCACCTGATAAAGTGTATACCAGACGGAAATTGGCATTCTGACTAAACGAATTACAAAGGAAATAGTGAACAATATTGATAAATTCAATAACTGCAAATTGACGACGTTTGTAATAGTTCGAAATCTTCTATGCAATCAATAACATGACTTACACCCCCTTCAAAAGTTTGGCAACTGGAATTCAACGTTTAAAAGCAATACCCGGTAGTTATAACGTGTAAAGGCTTGTTATTTTGGTCTTAACTTTGTTTCTCAGTTCTAAAGATTCGAAGTACAAATGGCTTGGAACAAAAGTGGTCCGAAATTAGACATGGATGTCAATCTTTTATAGGGGGAGGGGAGAGTGTAAATTCACTATATGGCGCAAGAGAGTGGGCCCCGATGCATCGCAATTTTAGAAGATTGCTGAAGATGTTTTGAGGAACAAATCAAAGTCCTTGGAAGGTAAGGATTAGATATTCGGTCAACGTCGACCGCGGTCCAAGAATCTTTAGACAGATAAATGTTTAGGTCACTAGTTCCGTTATGGTCAACTTTCCCTTAATTACGACACCCTGAAGTTCTCTAAATTCATTAAATCATATGTACATTACGAGTATAATCCGTAGTCATATAATTCCCGGGAAAGTACTTTCTCTTTCACTTTACGACATTGTGTCGTAAAAAATTCACTCAGTTCAGTGCATTTTTGGTTTTTATTTTTACTATTTAGATGTACATTGACATTATTTTATGCATAAATATGAGGTGAAAATATGTTCATTCTGAGTTGGCTTTTTCAATATGTTGCAAAATTGGTCTAACATGTGGTTCAAACCTGAGACGGGACTCTGAGGTAATACATATACAAAATGCACCCAAGGTTAGGAATCGAAGAGGGCATTGACAGAAGGAAAGGATTACGCTTGCCGTCTCATCGAACTCCAATTTTCGACCGCTGAATAAAGAAAACGTATAAAGTAATTATCTTTTTGAAGTGCCATGAAAGTAGACATCCTTCCGTATTATCTATCTTCCAATTGATTGCTCGGTTATGGCGACTGTGCCGTATGTTCTTTGTATATACTTACGCTTTTATTACTTAAAAACAGATACAATCCAATTAGCAACAAATGAGGTCCTGGCCAAATTATTGTGTACAAAAGGTATCGTTACACCAAAATGGTGTGATTTTACCTTGGTGATATCGCACTTTAATTAATCATTTCCTCTAAATGAAAGGTGTGAATACACTTTTGCGTTTTTTCATATCACAATCTTGAGTGGACTTCAACGTTCTGAGCTGGACATAATCACTGACTTTAGAGGCGGACTCCTATCTCGAGTGTGGGACCTATCATATCAAACGCTCATAAATATCATTTCCCGATCGACGCAGGATATTTTGGGATATTCACCAAGATTAAAAAACCCAAGATTTAAATATTTCCCTCAGGTTCTTAATATTGAGGAATTGGGTTACACCTGGTGGTTAGCCCTCTATGTTCTATTCTGTTTCTCGTAACATACCCAAAACAGCGCGCTTTTCATCTTAGATAATACAGGGTTAACACTTGTAGATGTCGGAAGCAGAACTTAAAAATGATAAGGGATTGGTTCAAGGTAAAAAATATCATCTATATAACGCAACTCATTTTTTCACGTAAACTTAAGCCATGATTATGAATGTAAAGACAAAATTTGAGGTTTGGTTTCATATAGGGAGTGGATCAAATCATTCCGAAATTAGAACGGTATTTACTGCATGACAATCGTGACGTTGGGATATTGATTTAGCCCCTTAAAGTTTATGGTCTTTGCACGTAACATATGGCAGACGAACCACATCAAGGATTCATCAATCGAACGATCATCAGCGTCTTGTCATCAATAACCTTTTTCCTGTTAACAAAATTGCATCTTTTAGATAGAAAAACATCAAAGTGTTAAGTTTCAAGTAGTTATTACACCTCCCCATATTGACCGATTTATGCTTCATCAAGAAAAACAAAACATGTGGATGCTTATAAACATTCCGTTGACGTTGTAGGCGATTATCTCCCATGTTGAAATGTCGAATACAAGAGTATCTTTCATTTTGTCAGTTTTGCCTATTTCACTAGCTATCTTACATATATACCAAGGAGGACTGTCGCCTAATATGCAATCTCTATATTTTTCAACACCGAATCCCATCTTGAAGGACGTCGTGATTTTCACTTCAAATTTTTAATCGCAAGTTTAGGTCTTATTATTCGAAACACACGAAGTGATCAAGATATGTATAGGAATATCCTGTGGTTTTGAAAAACTAATCATTTTTATCCTACACTTAGTGTACCAAATGTATAATAACATGAAAAAATAAATTTGATATTTATTGGCAAAATGAATATCCGGAGGATATCGTAACGATATACTCCGGGTGGAGGATATTGTGACGATATACTCCGCTTGTTGATTTCCCGCCAAATTGACTCTATTGGGCATGAAATACATTTTACAATGATATTATACATTTAGCACACTCCTTGTAAGTGTAGGATAATAAGAACATCCTATGATTTTTTCCAGAATATCATTTTAATCTACTCGGTGATATTTATATATGCACTCGTTCGCTTCGCTCTCTCGTGCAGATATCTATATCACCTCGTAGATAAAAATGATATTCGTCAAAATCATAGGATATCCTAGAAATATCCTTGGGTGGATATTGATATATTCATGAGTGTGCTCAGCGATTGATTAAAGATATTGATATCCATTGGTGGATATAATTTCTATTTTTGAAAAAAACATTGGATCGTCCGTTTATCCTATGGGAAAGTAATAATCATCATCAGCGAAAAAAATATTTTGAAAAATATCAAAAGAATGTTGTTCCCTTTTTTTGAATTATTTTGAAAATTAATTTGAATAATGTAATAAAATCGAACATCACTTTTAATCTAATCGAATACCACTTTTGAAACTATCGAACATCACTTTTTATCACTTTTGCTAAAATATGATATTTTGATCCACATATCAAATATATTTTCATGTGATATTCGATCTATATCCCTGCAACCATGGGATAATAGCTCAAATCTTTGGGATTGCTGATAATGAATTTATAACCAGTTTAATGTCAGACAATAATGACATTTTGACATTTTCATTGTTGGAAAAACTCGAGATTGCATTCTGGGAGCAAATCTTTTGAAATTTGTTTGGCTGCATTTTAAACTCTCCCATAAGTTTTATATTTGATTAGATATCTCACATACTGTATATAGATAATCTTTCTCAGAGAATAAAATCAGGATTGTGGAAAAACTTAGATACACCGTTTCTGAGAAATGACGTTACATTCTTTGCACTATGGCTCTGTACCGAATGGCATCTAACCTTGTGAATCCCACGCCACTTGGTTCAGGTAACCCAAAAACCTTCCTCCTTTTGACAGGTTGTTTTCTAATCAAAGTTCGCACGGTATATCCTTGATTAAAAAATTAAGTAAGCATTTTACGAAATTACTTATATAAAATGGATACGTTAAAAAGCAAATAAAAGTAACTTGACGTGAATCATATGAAGATGAAGGGAATTCTACTTTTATCGTGTCTTACATTTGTTTTTGCACAAGATCTACCTCGTAAAATTGGACAATTTGAAACAAGCAATCCAGCGTTTACGGATTTTTATGAGAACAGACAAGCTACACGGCCCCAGGACAGATGGAACCTTCTTTACTCATGCTTTAGTGGGGCTCCAATACCAGATTACATACGACAGGTCCGGGGTTTTGGACAGTACCTTGGTAATGTTAACAATACAGTTGTTCAACAACTATCTGATGAGGTTGAATGGCCACGTGAACCCGGATCCATTCCTTGTAAGTTTAATGACCATGGCTATTAAAAGATGGTGAAAAATTCAGGGCGTTTAATCGTTGCTTTAACATTGAAATATTGCTTAGATTCTGATAATAGACCAATCCAGTAAATCATGCCATCTGTTGGTAATGATGTCATTCTTACAATTTCAGTGCAGAAATAGGATTAAAATATTTCTAATTTTCAAAAACTCCCCTAGTTTCCCTAATATACCCTAGTTTCCTTGGTTCACAAATAGAGGTCAGGATTTATTGGAAAGGTCTATTGCTTTCAAATTCAATTCAAAGATAGATTCCACTGAAAAACGCAATGATATCTAAACTGTGTGAAAACAATCCATACCACACGAGTCCTTGCAACTGCCCTATTGTATTCTCATGTCCGATCTTCTGTGATTTATATCCAAAGAACGTGTGTACGATTTTATAGATTTTATTATATATAATATAACATATTTACAAAACTTTTTGGCATGGGTAGACGGCTATCTATCGATCAGAGCTTGCGTAACTGTAAACAAAAGAAATGATTACGTAATCATGAGATAATGTAACGCAATGACAGCGCAAAATCATGATTATGCAACCTTATATAATCAATAATCTTTGGGATATATAAGTGATACATTCTCTTTGGAAATTCTGAATCTTTGTGAGCAAGAAAAATATCATATCTATTGTAGTCATAAAATGTTATATTTCTCTCATATAGAATCTAATCAATTTTGTTAGTTCTGTCCTTAGATTAGATAACCAATATCACTGTACTTTTCCGATAGTTTTATTTATAGTTTTATTATAGTCTTATCTATATTCTATAAAAAGTATGAACATCCATAACAGCATGTTGTAAACAGTGACAGTATTTTAAAGGAGTGAAAATCAATTTAACTATCAAAAACGTCTTCGTGTATGGGACTCCTAATAACAATACGGGTAAATAGAGGATATCATATTTATCCTATGGTTGCTATTTTTGTATGGACTTAAAATAATTTGACCTTAAAGTTGTTGTTTTCTCATTCTTTTCTAATGTTTTCATTTTATTTTCTGTATACTTATTTTTACAAAATGATTGCATGAAAAAATTCAACTTATTTTTACTGAGCAAGTAATCTAGTGTAACTATATTGTTGCAGATAAAACAGTCAAGTAGTTATTTTGCACCAAAATTCAAAACTAATGAAAAAATCGTATCCGACGGATACTATCTTTAAGACGTCATATGAGTCGGATACGATTTTAGTGGCGCATTCCAAAATTATCTTGTGCTGTTATCCCCATATATATTTAGTATCCATCGGACAAATATAGATATTTGATATAATGAAATAAATTATAACTTTATCCTATACTCTCCATCCCTCATCCTACGTTTATTTCAGTTGAAGTTTTCGGACATGAAGCAATACATGCTCCCGATGGGTTCCTTGTCCCAGGCAAGGACGAGGGCACTGTGAATATCATTGACATGCGCAATAACCCTCCAACCACACATCAGCTGATACCACGTGACTGGTGGTTTTACCACAGGGTAACGTGGATGGATATGAATGGTGATGGACGAATTGATATTGTAACTGCAAGGGCGAGAAGAGAACCAAACACAGGTTTTTACGTATTTATATTTCGTGTGATTATTCTCGTTGGGATTTCATCCGAGGTGCATTCCGTTATACCACGTCCTCATATGCATGCATTCTGACTCTAATCTGAATTGAGCATAGTCCTTGGTCTATCATCTGATAAAAGGTGAACAAGTTTTCAAGTGTGATTGTTACCATGCATCAATTAATTGGCTTTAACTGATCATATATTTTTACACCATGTTTTGTTGTCACTGCCTCTCACCCAAGTGGTATCATTTCATGTGGTATCATCTCATGTTAATCTGTTTCGCCATGTACAATCTCCTCATCATATCTTCATTTCTTATCATTCCTTTTCTTTTGTCATTTATGTCGTTTCCTGTAAGTTCTGGTCACGTCAAGTCATATCTTGTTACGTCTTCTCACTCAAATACACATACAGCTTATTATTAGAAATAAGGATAAATAAAAATGAATATTACGAATGTTTTGCTCCACCAAAAATTAATAGGTCTCGACAAGGCGCCCAATAGCGTAAACTATGATTTTATCAAAGATGCCACAATAGTATGCTAAATATTAATCTATAGTTGGAAATCACCCATTGGATTAAATATTAAGCCCTTGTATTGTTTTGTGATTTTAACACATTTATTCAGGGAAGATAATTTTCCCCCTTTCTTTGAACAGGCATCACGATCTCCGAACTGATCTGGTTGGAGCATCCTGCATCCGCCAATCCACTGTTAGAAGAGTGGGATGTAAACGTCCTAAGTGAAGATGTTGCAGACACCATGCACAGAGCACTCAATCTTACAGTTGATGGTATGTTGACAACTTAATGTCCGAGGGTCTTGCGGTCTTGGATTGTGACAAAACTTATGTGATTGATCCTAAGAGGAAAGGGGAATTTGACTATGTTTATTTGAGCGTTTGGTCATCGATTGGGATGTTGGAATTCGATTAAATTAAAATACAAGCCGTTATATTCATTCAGTCTTTACTCATGTTGAACAAGGCCCAGTCCCAATTATGACGAGGGTACCACAGAGCAATCGAAATAAAAAAAATCACTTCCGCATATTTTCTTATTTTTCTTTTGTTCAATGAAACATACTTTAATTCACCCGACCGTTTCCACACCGCTAATAGGGAGGTTACGATTAGCGTAAAAATGTACGTATACCTATCCTATCCGTATGTTTGTATGGGAGGTCAGTTGAAAACATACGGGTGGGGATAGGTATACGTACAATTTTACGCTAATCTTAACCTCCCTATTAACGTACACTATACGTCTATCGGTTATATTTAAACCAGGGCGGACGTACCAAGTCATATTCACGATTGGTTACTTTTCTGGGCGAGTGTCTGTATTTTGGACGACTAACCCTAATGGATACTGGACAAATGTAAACGAGGTAAGAAACATATCTATAACTACACTCCCCTCCATAAGTTTGACAACCTTTTTCCCCATTGAACTATGTGTTAAAGCCTATTTACGTTTGAATTTTTATTTACTTAACCGGCGATGAAATAACTTATAATATTGATGGAAACGTAACCTGACTTTATTTCCAATACCTCCAAATTTTCTCAATTTTTTTCCTCAATTATAATAGGTCGAAAATTGATGATAAATTTGATGAATTTTTGAAAATCGTCATTCCCATGTAATCCAAGGGGAAATGGTTTTTTGAAAAACAATTTTGACTTTAAAGCCCTATAACTTTGTTGAACCTGAAAAAACATATCAATCTTTTGTTAAATAAAGTAAGCAAATTCAATTGCCTGCCTAACTTGTATTTTTTACAAGGACTCGGATGGATGGATATTCTGTCCTATGACTTGCGGCAAACCTACCATTTCCCATTGGTTAACATGGGAATGACGATTTTCAAAAATTCATCAAATTTATCATCAATTTTCGACCTATTGTAATTGAGGAAAAAAATTGAGAACATTTGGAGGTATTGGAATTAAAGTCAAATTACGTTTCCATCAATAGTATAAGTATTTTCATCGCAGGTTAAGTAAATAAAAATTCAAAGGTAAAGAGGCTTTAACACGTAGTTCAATGGGGAAAAAAGGTTGCCAAACTTATGGAGGGGAGTGTATGTCTATGTTAACCGTATCGATACCCATCCTTTAAAATGCTACATTTACTACCTCCTGTAAAGCCTGTTATTCATACTCAATTTGTGAAGGGTATCATTGTTCAAACTTTTTGTGGATTCCAGCACTGTGCTCATCCATGCATGACAGAGCGTCTAGTAAAAGTTTACTTTATTTTAATAACGTTTATTTTATTGTCACTGAGTAAATCAGTCCTGTCCACATGCGCATTCAGGTTCGATCGAGAACAATTGATTCTGATATACAGCGAGGGTTCTCCGTAGAACTAGAAGACGTCAATAACGATGGGAAACTAGATATCATTGTTCCCGACAACAGTGTTACAAATGGCTCGGTTCTTGTGTATGAGATTCCTAATGACTTCCGGTGAGTATGTTTCTCCAAAGGAGGGGGTATTCCCTAATTAAAGTTCAGAGTTGATATTGGGTCCTGTGGTATCCATGTGATTTATCCATATAAGGCTTATACGACCATATAGGAATCCATTTTACTTTTGCCCGCCATTTTGAATGTCATGAAATAGGGAAAGAATAGGCAAAGCCACTGATACCAAGTTATACCAAATAATTATGGGAGTTATTCACCTCTTCCGTTTCTCACAAATGAGATAGCTGCCCAAGATCAGGTGACTACTGACTTGATATTGGCTTTAGACTTGGAACTATGATGAGTTAATGGGTTAAAGTCTCTTAATTTTTATTTTATAAAAGTTTATAATTGATTATTCTATAAAAGTATACAAGAGAACTGTTCACAATAATACACACTTTAGTTGGGGGTCACGTTATGTGTCAATTAATGAATTTTATAACAGATTAAACATTTACATTTCCCACATAGAATGAAGGTTAGGATAATTTCAATCTGGACATTTATTAGATCCTTAATCTAAATTTTTACATTTTCATTCATTCTAATTTTCTCTCAAATTTCATGGTAGACATGGTAGATCCATTCATCAAACACAACTTGCAGTCAGGGTCCTTGCAACTAAATCATTTCAGTTTCCCTTACTTTTCAGAGTAGACCCGTTCCCTAAACACAATTTGCAGTCTGGGTTTGTGCCACTAAGAGACGACGACGACGCAGGGTCACCTGGAACTGTCAACTCGTTCTATCCACGTGCAAAGTAATACTCATTAAATTAAACAAGGCGTTGACGTGCATAATATCATCACCTGCCATTTGTTTCAAACCGCCAACCGCCGAACGCGGAACACCAACTGCCGAACACAGACCACGAAAACGTTGGGGACTAACAATATGTAATCACTTCTTGTGAAATAATGACTAAAATATATACTAGATATAGTATGGTGAGAACCTACAATGTTGAAACATTTGAAAATCGAACAAAACCGTCATCACATAAACGATCATACATAAAGTGACGTGCAGTGCATGCAATTCATATTGAATTAGAGATACGATTTCTTTTTTTGTCATTCCATCCATTCCCGGAATACAAAGCACTACAGATTGTTTTTTCTAGGGTACACGTATGGGTATCTGGATATATACACCTAGAGCTGATAAGATTTTGGTTATGTAACCACCAGAAGAAGTGACAAATTGTTACGTCTCCAACTTTTTGTTGACGGTATTCGGCGGTCGGCGTTATGCGGTCGGCGACTTTAACAAATATTAATGCCTTTATAGGAACGATATTGTTAGGTACGATATATTCACAGTGTGAATCGTCAAGTGAGTCTAGATTTACATAATGTTCTCATGTTTTAGTGCTACCGGTTCTAAGCCGTATTTAATGGTTTCCGGTGACGACGACGGGAAGGCGTACATATTGACTCCGCGAAGCCAGGATCCACGTGACTGGTCTTACGACATTCATCTTCTATTTGAATCGGACGAGGAGTTGTTTTCGCCTATAGTTGGGAAACTGTCAGCGGTGGACGCGGATGGAGATGGCTTCACCGAGATCATACTCCCTGAATACTGGGCAGATATAATGCACGTCTATTCATATGCGTAAACATAGTTCAGTGTACATATTTGTAGCTTATTTTTATATGTATGTCACAAAGATCTGTTGTTTGACTAGCTTTAATTAAATATAGATGTTGAAAACAATATTTTTTTCATGTTTCAATGGGAACAACATTTTTAATTTTTTCTTTTCACGTTTATTTTGTTCTCCTTTGATCAGCGTTGTTTGTGTTGCCTAAAAAACTATTTCCATGAAAAACAATGATTTTTTTCTATTTTATTGATTTTTTATTTTATATTTATTTCTTATTTCCTCCATATAACAATACATCAAAATACAAATTATTTACAGTGGACACCTAATGTAGCTGTACATTCTGCTTGATTAAACATATAAATTGAATATAATAATAGCGCAAATAAATAAATAAGTATAAATAAGAGCACATTAATAGTTGTTGGGGAGGAGCAGGGAGGAATGGCGGTAAGATATACAATGACAATTAATTATGTTTTCGCCATCTTATCTATTTGTATTGGGACTTTAAGATATTCCTGATATTCCTTTTGTCTGTAGTCGTTTTCTTTTAATCTACCGATAGTATGTTGACAAAGTGTCTGGCTTACTTTCTACTGTAGATATAAGTGCTTTATGTTTCAAGTCAACATGATAGCTAAACGTATCATGCTCACCCCACTCAATCGCATACAAGTATTTATGTTTACTTATTTGATTAAACATGGTAACATGTACAACTGTACTGTATATGATACTCTTGTTCATTTTATGTTAAACGTTTTTAGACCACCCTAACAATAAGTTTGCCAACCGGGAATTCCATTGTTGGACCACTAGCTCCCGATTGTCAAACCTTTGGACGGAGAAGGGGGAGGGGGGGGGTGTAGACCATATTTTGTGCACCTTGGTATAGACCATGCCCACTGCACTTTGGCTACACATACCAGATTCTGTATCAAAAATAGCTACGTATTCTGATATTCTTAGAACCTTTTTTACGTCATGTGCTGTCACGCCTAACCATCGACAAGGTACAGTCACGTGACAGTGACAAAATATGCCGTAGTACACTTTTGATGTACTATGTCACTATTAACTGATTTTGAGCGAAGACTATGATGTAGGTTTGATGCAGGTTTTCAAAAATGATTTTTAGGAGTACACAAAGGATTTTATGTTTGATTTCGCGTGCATTCGATTTCAACGACATTTATTTTTCTAATAACGTTAAAAGATCTTCGAGCAGTGCTCGATTTTTTTCGTTGTTAGTCTACCCATACGACTCTTCGGTTGGAAAATGTTGTTTTTTACACATTTCCTTTGATAATTTTCTCCCCTGACGTCTCAGAGAGTCGAATATTTTTATGAGAATGTGTTTCTCTAAACTACACAGTTTAGGACAGGTGAACATTTAATAAACATTCATGCATTTGATATAATTTAAAAAATCAGAAATGTACGTTGTCAAATCACAGTGTATGTTGTCCCTGTAATTGAAATACATGAGTTATAATATTAAACATTGCAATGATTTAATTTCAAAATGCATTAAGGGTTTTATGCGTTACAAGTGATGTTCAACAAACATGCTCCTGTATACAGATAAACAGGTAAAAGTGATTTTTTCGTTGAATGCTATTTTATTTTATGAAAGTATTAATATGGTGATTAATATGTGACCATGGCGTGTTTTCTTCCGACCTCTTTGACCACTCGACGTCGGTACGTTACGTTATGTTTAGTTGCACTTTTATGAATTTTAATAATCTTAAGGAGTTCATGGAGAGATCTTTACTAGCTAATCCAAGATGACTTTATGCTACAGGGTGTCCCGAAATTATGGGCCCCCTAGGCAGACATATACCAATGTCTCCATGTATGTGTCGTATATCATTTTAAAGCTCATCCAAAGTTACATTAATTTGCCGAGTATCATGGTTCAACTCACAAATAGAAAAAGTTACAGGAATTTCAAAAGTTAGTGTTTGGACAAAATTAAAGTCAGTTCTACACCAAAACAATAGTTGGTGTGTCTCCTTAGCCGCCGTGTTAACAGCAGCAATACTTTCCATATATGACCTTAAACTGGCTTCAAATAGGGATATGGCGTTTTGTAATCCTCATAAAACCTTTTTAAGGCATAAGAAGAGTTTCCTTGGAGTATCTACCCTAAACATCATATTTTTAGAACTCGATATCCAGATATTATCTTCGAGAATAGCATCCATATTTTCTGTCACATTCAGGTCAGGGCTGTTTCCAGGATACTGAAATGAACTTTTTGGCAAAATGCTAATTTTTGAAATGCCTGTTACTTTTTACCATTTGAACCATCATATTTGGCAAATCAATGTAACTTTGGATAAGCTTAAATATGATATATGACACATACTATGGAGAAATTGGTATATGTCTGCCTAGGGGGGAAAGTGCAGAAGTTCAAAAGCCAGGGTTATGGAATACTAAAAAATTATTAGTAACATTGAAATTTAATCATATCAATGACAATTTTATGGATTAACGGACAAAATATTAGAGTAAATTTTTCGATATGCCAGCCCTATTATTATAATTATTATAAATTATTACTTTATTATCAAATATGTTCCTTCTATTACACGTGCATTATAGTATTTCATTCACTGTAAAATTAACTGTGAATTGAGATCTGTAAGGCCAATGTGACAACATACATTCGAGTTGACAACATACATTATCTATTTTTCGTAGTAGCATCCAAAGTAAAAAGCGGTTTTGCATTAACTCTGTATGTATATTTGTATACTTATCTTAAGTTGTGTTAGTCGTAGTTTGCCTGTTATTTGCAAAGCAAAACAAAAATTAGAGAGAATTTTGCGAAATTCAGTCAAGATTTAGAGATCCCTGACCTACTGGGTAGATCTATAACAAGATATCGAAGTTGCTGAGGATCATTTGAAGTAGATATGCATATTTGCAACTTAATTACAAATCGAATGCAACAACTGCCTGATGATGAACTGACACAATATTGATCAAATCAATGCTAGTTCTTACCTCGCTTCCTCATTCTAGAAAATGGCGATCTAAAATGGCAGAAATGACATAGTACATCAAAAGTGTACTACGGCATATTTTGTCACTGTCACGTGACTGTACCTTGTCGATGGTTAGGCGTGGCTGTGTATTTTTGTAGAATCAATGAAATGTTTTTCACAACCTAAACGTGAACGGAAAATATTTAAGCGATGTATTTGTATGGGCGATTGGTCATACGTTTCTAGATTGGCGTTTCGATTTTATATGCAAGCTTAAACTGCCTATTCTTTGCATTCGAATTACCACATACTCTCTCAATTCTACTTTGTACCATTTAGCAATATATCATATTCTTTGCATTGTATACAGAAAGCTAGATAAACGGTATATTAATCGGATAATGTTCTTTGAATTGCTACAAAGCTACACATGGCTTTCTACGTATAATGTTCATTGCATGGTATATGGAGAGCTACATATGATATTTTATTGATATTATCCTTTTCATTGTATACAGATAGCATACATATCATAGTAATAGGATAATGTTCTTTGCATTGTATACGAGGGGTGGTCCAAAAGTATTTGACGCCCCGCTCTCACTTTGCTATATTTTAATGAAATCACCACCTGCTCCATACAGTCCAGATTTGGCCCTATGTGATTTTTCCCTTTTCCCAAATTGAAAGAACGGTTGAAAGGAACTGTTTTCACGTATTGGATGAGGTTATAGTGGCAGTTGGCTGAAAATTCTCTCGTATTATGACTGGTGCAAGGTTGCGCACTTGCACCTAAAGTATTAGCCATATCAACAGTTAAAAATTATCTAGAAAAGTACCTCAAATAATCAATATTCTAGTGAAACGTATACAAAAAGTTGTAAAGCTGTTGATCTTGATTATTTGAAAGTGTCATGTAAGGAGTGGTATCGATATGATGAACTTTTTGAACACACGTTTCTCTTAAACCAGACATAAAAAATCTAAAAATTTAACACATCGTCAATTTAATGGTCATCTTTTGAATGGTAACAATATTTGAAAAATATATATTATATATACTTTCATCTATATTGTTTTAGAAAACACATCAAACACTTGTTTTGTTCTTATTATCATGTTTCCAGAGTGAAATGAAACATCTTTCCGAACCTCATTGGAACAAAACGACATAAACACAACATGTTTAGGTCTCTCAATATTGTAATTGTACAAAGGAAATTTTGGTTGATTTAAAAAAAGTATCTTGTTAATGAAATAAAAGGTTTATCTTGATTTTTATTTATTTTGGGGGATTTTGTTTTAATTTTTTGAATACTTTTTTAAAATCAGACAAAAATTCCTTTGTATAACTATAATATTGAGAGATCTAAAAACATGTTTTATAAAATTTTATTTTGTTCCAACAATTTTATTTCATTCTCTAGAAAGGAATTGGTAGAAAGGAGCAAAAACAATTGCATTAAAAAATGTTAACAAAAACAGTTATATAAAATATTTCTAAATAATTTTTGCATCAAATTCTTGTCAATCAGTCAACATTATATAAAATACCGTGTTTTTTACAGAATGTTTTCAATAATTGGTTTAGAGAAAAACATCGTTGAATTCAGTTCACCATATCGATACCTATCCGTTCATATAAAAATGGCAAAGTTAGAGGGGGGCGTCCAAGACTTTTGGATCACCCCTCGTACAGATCGTATCATCTTCTGTGAATCTGTGTACAGATTTAAAGATGTGCTATGGATCATTTTCTTTGGAATTTGTACAGATAGCTACATAAGATGGTCTAAATATCACGTCCATTGCATATGTAGAGATAACTGCATAAACTGTTCTTTAAAGAAAAGCTACCTCAATATGTAAATAATCTTTACCATGCTTTTTTGTAGTTAATGCACATAGCTTCATGATACGTGTATGCCACCTTTATATCACATTATTATCTTCACGTTCTGTGCACTATACAGAAAAGAACTAATAGCGAAATGACTACTTAATCACATCTTTGATATTCGAACTATAATTTATAAGATTATCTTGACGATCATGACGCTAAATTCTGAGTCAAGACCACGATACACATGTTGAGTCAATAAGAGTTCAGTATACTAAGGGTTATCTAGAAATAAGTAAACAAATAGTTGATATGGTTAATATGTTATAAAGCACTAAATGGACTTAGGGGTGGACCGTATCCCTTTCAAGGGGGTCTAAACTTTCTAACCAAGTCGAACAGCACCATGGGTAATGCCTCTTTTCAAAGTCCAAAATACTTTATGATCATGCATGGATACATTTTTATCGTATGATCTGTAAAATGAAACCCTCTGATTGGTCAGTTCTTGAGCTGTACAAATCTGTATTGCTACTGAGATCATCTCCGGATCAATACAGAAAATATTGGTACGGAGGAGACAATTTCAGTAGAAATACGGATAATACAGAATATTTCCTATGGATGAATTGTCCTAAGATCACATGATAAAAACGTTATAGAATGATTTAAAGTGCAATACAGGATATATCTCGATATTCTGTATTGGCACTCAACTTCGTCTCGTTCCAATACGGAATTTCTCGAGCAGAGTATATTCTGTATTGCACTTTAAATCATTCAATAACTTAGAGCATTGTATTGCATCTTTTGTATTTTATTGTAATGTACATGTATTGTATTGTGTTGGTTCGGCCAATAAAGTTTATAAAGTTAAACATTTGGTTTATCCAAAATTTAAGCATACGCCCTGAGATTTAGAATACAATTTTTCGAAGAGTGCAAAATTTCGAAAAATATTCATCAAAATGATCCGCCTCTTACGTGGTGGACTATGATATCCGCATAGTCCCAATTTATGGCAGAGTATAACACACTGATTTACTTGCGATCTAGATTTTGACCGAGATAGACCATTTGCACTTTTCAATTCTATTAAAACTGCTACAAAATGCCCGATGATTTTAATGGAGTCTGGAAGTTAGTGAGGAACGAAAACCTAGATGATTTCCTCAAAGAAATTGGTAAGGTATTTTTTTAACTTATCGAACGATTTGGTACCACACGGTAGTCATTACTTTTGATCTTGATTGATATTATGAATTGAATAGTATGCAAATAGTGACTGCTTCGGGAATATCGTGTGCTTGACATGTTCCCGAGGCTGCAGGCCGAGGAAACGTGTCAGTGGACAAGATATTCCCGAAGGGAAAATGCTTCCACTTTTCTCAAAAACAATGGCAGTCACTATTTGTTTTATTATATAGGGTGTCTCAAAAAATGTACCCAAAAGTATATCAACACCATAGACAAACCAATCAATATTTTCAGATATTTTTTGCATGGTCTTGTAGATAAAAGATGAAAGTTTTTTCCCCTATTAATTCAGTTTTGCCTTTTTGATACTTTAACCCATTACCTTTTACGCCACATATTCAATGTAACCTCATATTTCGATGACAGTCTGCATCCTTACTACTACATTGTTCATCACATTTGATATATCTTGTGGAATGTTTTGATTTCTGTTCGGATGCTGGTCTTAAGTTGTTCTTGATCTCTTGGCTTGGGTTTAGCATAAAAATGGTCCTTCAAATAGCCTCAGAGAAAAAAGTATGGGCCGTCAAATATGGTGAATAGGGAGGCCCTTACAATGTCTTATAGCCCCCTTATACAGAGAGGTCAGAGGTTTAAGAAACTGCATTGCTTGGGATTCTAGTGTAGCTTTTGTTTGTGTATCAATTTGAGACCACTGTTTTCATTTGGATATGATTTGATCTCCAGGCTAGCCTGCCTAACTCTGGAAGGTAACTCCTGAATCATTTGCCGATAATTGATCTGACTATCTGTGTTTGTTCTGTCATCGTCATCCTCAAACATCTTTCTCTGTGACTATTTGAAGGAGTGTTTTAATGCTCATTCCAAGCAAAAAGACCTTAAGGGCAACATCCAAAGAGAAATCTAAAACATTCCACCGGAATTATTATCAAATGCGATGAACAATGTAGCAGTAAGGATACAGGCTGTCATCGAAATATGAGGTTACATCGATTATGTGGTGTAAAAGGTAAAGGGTTGAAGCATCAAAAAGACAAGACTGAAATAGAAATGGTGTATTGGGGAGAAAACTTTCATGTTTTGGCTACATGACCATGCAAAAAATGTCTGAAAATATTGATTGGTTTATCTGTGCTCTTGATTTACTTTTGGGTACATTTTTTTGAGACACCCTGTATACCCCATATGTACTCTGTATAATGAAAACAAAATGAGAAGTCTTTTAATATCAACATAAAGCTCATGGGATCTTATCTAAATAAAGGCATTTTCTCTTTCAACTCCTATAATCCAAGCTTGCAGGGAAGATAAAAAGTACTAATGACTGGTCACATGACCTAACTGGTGATTAGTACTTTTCATCTTCCCTGTTAGCAGGGATTTAGGACTTTCCATGGAATAAGTTCATCTATTTCATAGCATGTGACAACGAATAAGCCAATGGGTATCAAGAGTACATACTGTATAATAATATGCACTATATCGATTTCATTATTTTCCTGTCAAAGTCCAATATAACCATGCGTGAGCTTGGTCTAATGAATGCTTTGAAATATTTAATGTTGACCATTGCATTTTGATGTAATTGTCATGGTCCCGTCTGCTTAAATTATATCACCGAAATCATTAGCCTTGGCACTAGTGAATGGTTTAAATTGTCGACTTTTGTACGTTTCATACTTGACGAGTGTTCTGGTTAACCCTGATTTTATTTTACATATAATTGTTTCCCAATATAGGGATGAACATGGTGTTCAGAAAAGTCGCTGGAACTTTGAGTCCAACAGTAACCATTACTCAAGATGGAGACAAATTTACCATAAAATCCGTGAGTAGTGTAAGGACAGAGGAATACTCCTGGGCGATTGGAGAGCCGTTTGAACAGAAATTCGAGGGTAAAATGTATAAGGTATGTGTTTTTACCGTTGTAAACTTGTAGAATATTGAATTTATCTTTATGGATTTGATAGTTACTGTATGAGGAATGGATTTGTACTGCTCTTTTCCAACTGTCTATGACCCTACCTTTAGCAAACGTTCTTTGAATTACCCGCCCTGTGGATTACGTCATAAGGGTCTGTTTGCAACACAAGTACAATCTGTATACGATTTCCCTTCTGTACTAGAAATTTCTTTTTATATGTCCAATAATTCCTCCTTCTTTCCCTCCTCATCTCAATTTTAGACAACTTCCTCCTTTTGGAATTCTTGCGTTTGGTTTGTGAGAAAAACTATGTGAAAACTTTCTAATATGCCTTTAATTGCCTCTTTAATTATGACCAAAAAACGAATTCGAATGGAGCATTGTGGCACGCTGTTTTTGTTTCAGTGTCTCGCTAGATGGGAAGGTAAAAAACTGGTTGTTGCTGCCCAAGCAATAGAGGAGGGAGGCAAACCTCTAACGCTCACTAGGGAAAACCAGGGAGATGAACACGTACAGGTATGAATAATAACACAGTTACAAAGTTGAACATATCGTGAGCATTTGAGGATCCATGTTGAAATAAGCTTACCGCCTCGTGACTTAGCCATGATACTGCCGAGCAAGTTCACGGTGTCACAAGCTAAGGTTCGCTTTGTACCCATGAATAAGTCTTGGTACATCACACATGTGTTCACACTCCTTGAAAAGTTTGTCGACAATGACAAACTATTGAAAAGAGCTGACCTGAGCCTATATATGTTTGATCTTTCCCCCAAATATAACAGGTTGCAAAACGATAACGACGTTTTTAACAAAAGCAAGGGCGCTGGACTTGTAAAACTTGTGGTTGGGTGTTGGCTTGAATTTTGTATGTGAAACATCTAATACATGAACAGTTGACATTTCCGGGTGCACCCCAGTTGTCCGAAACCCAGTTGTCCGAAACCCACTTGTCCGAAACCCAGTTCTCCGAAACCCACTTGTCCGAAACCCATTACTCCGAAAAATATAGTCATAATTTACCAGAGAAAGGGGAGACGTACTTAAGCTTAGGCCAGTTTCATGCCATGTATTTGGCCAAATTAATGGCATGGACGCATTCTGATGTTCATAGATCTCTCTCTCTCACTTTGAATTGCATCCATTGCACGCGTTACCAGAATGACAGGAGGGGGATTTATTTTACATTGTGATTCTAAAAAAAGGTTATCAAAACACAATATAGATATATTACGGAACAGTTTATCTTATCTTCTTCAATCTCTTTTATATAGGCAAAATAAAATGAATCATTTTGAAACAGATAAAATAAGTTTACGCATATAGTACTTTTAGAATAAAACTGTATACATTTACGTTGTCAAAATATTTCGTCGCATTTAATTTCTTAGTCTCTGCATTCTATCAAATCAAAAAGGCCCATGGGCCATAAAGAAAATTGGTTTAAAAATTGCAGACCCCTATGTATGTTGTGTAAACGCCATTTTACAATGAGAATAACATAATATAACTTTGTTTGTTTGAACATCTATATCACCTGTATATGAACTTTCGTAGGCTAAACATTAAACAATTAACGTCTTGACTTAGCATATTTAGCTTAATTTTGCAATGATGTCAACGTTATTCCGATGTTATGTTGTGATTCGCAGAGGTTGCGACAACGAGATTCGTTTAAAAAATTGTATTTTCCAAATAAGATCCCCCTAATTTTCGGAGAACTGGGTTTCGGACAACCTGGTTTCGGAAAACTGGGTTTCGGAGAACTGGGTTTCGGACAACTGGGTTGACCCCGACATTTCCATTAAACTATACAGCATCGTGTGTTGAGTATACACTTCTCTGCGTACATTTATTTTGCAAGTGTCAATTTTAATCTGATAAAAGGTATTTAATTAGACTTTATACCTCATGCATTTGAGACAAATGATATCACGTATGACAATCATGCTTCGTCTTAACATAACTTAAAAGTGTGTTGAAATTTTGCGGCTATGTATTTTTCCGGTTTTTGACCCCTCAAAAAATTTCCAGCTTCTGTTCTATATAATTTCTTTGATTAACATCTTTTAGAAACCGAAATACATTAAATAAAACAGTACTTTTCTAGCCTACCCAGTACTGAACAAAAATATTGTAAACATTGAGTGAAATAAATACCGGGAAATTTGTGTTTATTATATTTTGAGAATTTGAAATATTGGAATATCTTGGCCTTTATATTCCCAGGAATTTCGCGATTATTATATTTTGCGAATTAGAAATATTGGAAGTTGCGAATTTTCAATAAGTCGTTAAGAGCGCAAAATATAGTAGCACTACAGTATTCAAAGTATGAATTTAAAAGTTTGTTTCATCGTGAGAATCTGCACCTGAATATTAACGAACTCTAGTTGTTTATTTTGATCTTGACTTCAACATTAGAAGGGGGACAAGAAATAATGGATGCACATCTGTAATAAAAATCCTAAACTGGATCTAGTTTTAGACAATCCTAAACATCATGTCTCGAAAGTAGAAAACAAGAATTGCAATTATTCGACGAGATACTGAAATGGTGAAAAATATTTCAATAACACCTGTGTAAATGGAACACACCCCTTGATTCACTAAAATTGTTTCTTTACGAGGTGTTCCACTTATAGAGGTTCCATGTATGAAGTCAACAAGTCACATGCGTTTGAAAAGGTGTTCCACATGTTTTCTATATATAGAACCTTTAAAGTATTAACGATTTTCTTTCAATTTTGGCTACATGTCTATTGATTGTCCTTGTGTTTTCCTTTCAGACTTTAGAATGTAATGGTAAAGTAGCAAAGCGATTTTTTAAGAAATAGATGAAGGATGGGCTCGCAAAAACTACAGATACATGACAAACTGACAAACACTAACTTCAAGTCTAGATCCTGTAAAATCCAACAGCCTAATGCACAAGCCGGGAAAGTGTCCCTCATATATCTACGTATATCAGACAGTTATATAATTTGGCAATTTGGGAGCTGTGCGTTGAACTTTATGTGACGTGGGCAGCTATAGTAGTTATATTCACATGTTCATATGTACGTGTAACATGATTGACATACTAGTAATTAAATCAAATATTATTTATCAACGTCTTATGTGAAATCTAATCTAATTTACTGCCTCACACGGTATAAGAGTAACTTTCATAAATAATAAAACGACCGTTATATTTTTAATATTTCTACTAATATTATGTTATAAATAGTATTCATTGTACACAACGCAGTATTCATGTTATACTTTGAAATGTAGAAGAGTTACGTGTAAGAGTTTGCTCAGAGTTTTGTGTCCACATATATTGGTTCTGACCTATGTTTTCATATTTGCATCTATAAATGTTTAGTATGGCATTTGTATATTTGCATCTATGAATGTTTAGTATGGTATTTGTATATTTGCTACTATAAATGTTTAGTATGGCATTTGTATATTTGCATCTATAAATGTTTAGTATGGCATTTGTATGTATTTGTGTATTAAAGCATTTTCATATTTTTCTGGTGGACTAATTTATACTTCAACGCATTTGAAGTCGTTCATTTTTTCATTCTTTGTATGGTTTTAGAGAAGCTCATCCATACTCTTTGAACCTTTAGATCAAGTCTTTCCCTGGAATGACATGTCGCCAAGCCAGTTGATTTTTTTGTTATAAATGGGAGACAAAAAATAATTTTGTACATGCATTTGAAACATACAGATAAATGTAGTGCTAATGGTGTTTCTAAAAGATGTCAGGGCAGTCATTTGGCGTGTATGAGAAGCAACATCAATGCTTTTGAACAAGCACTTAAAACAAAAACATCAATGCTTTTGAACAAACACTTAAAACAAAAGGTGTTCATAAAAGATGACAGTGCAGTCAAATGACTCATATCACTTGAACACTGCCATATCTATATCTAAATAAAATACAATACCATACAAGACATGCATACACGTGTATTTGTGTTTAATAATTAATAAATACATTTGCTGTATATGTATGTGCTGTATATTTCAGTTTGATGCTAACCTGTTGATATTCTAACGATTTAATTTAACTCCAATTATATATATAAAATATACAAAAAGTGCTCTTAACGGAAACCCATTTTATACCAATGCAAAACTCCCTGAAACAATGAGTATCCTACGAATCCTGTTATGTGATGTAAAATAATAATGGTTTTCTGCATCGTATTTTCATTCTGCTTCGTTGTTGCTTTTTTAGCAAGCTACATTCCGAAAAAGAATACCATTCTAAACATCTCTTGAAATAACAGCTGCTTCGTGAATATTCATCAGAAGCCCCATATTTTCGTGGGAGAAAATATTGCAACGCTTCATGAAATAAACTTTTGATAGACACAAAGACATATAGTGATACTTTCCATAATGACGTTGGTGTAGGCAAAACTTGGGGATATAAAATACATGGGTGATTTCGGTGTTTAAGTTTAGGCATCACAAATATTTCGGAGATTGATAGGGTCGATACAAGACTAAGTCTTGATACGAAGTAATCGTTATGCTCACATTTCTAAATAAGTAATAGAGAACTTCTCCTTCGTAATTTCATACGGTCAAGTTTAGGATGACTGTTCTTATAGTCCATTTGGAATATGTAATTACTGGTGGTCCATTTTACAGAGTCTGCATTGATGGAGTCTTCCATTGTTCTATCTACATACTCACAGAGTCCCTCACTATCTATAATGACCACGGTATTAGTTCTGCAAAAATAAACAAAATCACACATGTCATACAATATTCAAATAACAGAAAGTGTCAGCCCTGTCGAAGCCAAATTATATTTGCAAATTATAAATTTTATAAATAATGTAATACAGCTTCATATTTTGTAGAAAGGGAGAATATTACCTTTTGTTTCGTGGACAATCAGTTTTGTCTAATTACAATACTCATATAACTTGATTGTTTTTTCATATATCTATTCCTCATACATAATACAGCAAATTCTTCTTAGAAAAACTTGACAAGCTATAAAAGGGATCATCTTGATAGGTCTAAAAAGTGAGAAATGTTAAATATCTTGAATGTTATAGTCCGACACTGAGGCTCAGGAATACGTTAAAAATGTTTAAAATGTTCGCTAGTGTACTGAGTTGTTAATGAGTGGTGTATACATGTATATTAATATTTTACTAGATAACTTACATGTATAAGAATAAGACTGATTTTTATAAGCTTAATGGATAAGAATAAGACTGATTTTTTTTATTAATGACAGCATACCCGGGCCTCTGGTCCGACACATCATATGACCAACAGAAAAATAACCAACAATCGAATTAGCTGAAGTATGCAAGTTGGAAAGTAGATACTACATAGACAAACTTGTTATACATCTTTTCATACCAAAAACGTGAGAAGAGGGGTTCTCGAACTGATCTTTTACCCGACATTCCAGCATTAAGAGAGCCAGCTTAAATAGGTTACATCAACGTAAATTATACGTACCTGGTTCCGCATCGGATACCTTCCGTTGGTTTGACAAATATTGCACTATGAGATTTCTGCCATGCCTGAGGAAGTTGACTTTCCAATTGAGGATCTGGAAGATGACTGAAAGCAGATATTCAGTTAGCAGGACAGGGTCGCAAAAGATACAAAGGAAGTTATTCACCAGGAGGGATTTGATATGGATATCAATATTTCCTGAGGGAACGTGTGGAATATTAAAGTTACATATTATCCCGCCCTAACGTGCATTGACAATTTAGGAAAAAGAAGAATATAATACTTTAAAAAATTGGAATTGAAATGAAAATCATTTTTAAACCCCAAAATTTGAAAAACTATCAAACATTTAATTTTTTGAATTGTTTTTTTTGAAAAGGTGAATTCTATTTGAAAAATGTAAAATTTTCGAGTTTACCCGGAATGATATCAATATCATCCTTCTAACCCTGATATCATCCCTGTCCCAAATATGTGATTTAATTATCACTTACTATTATATACCAGATACTGTCCTAAGTCATTGTTTTTGTTACACGTTAAAATACGATTAAATGTTCACCTTTTGTCATCATTTAGGAGGTCCAACAAAGCAATTTTCAGTTCCTCTTTACGATTAGTTTTATTCTTGGCAGCTTTGAATTGCGATATGATGGTTTCCATGCGATTTATACCATGTTTGACTTTGTTCCAAGGCTTATGTATGGTACTATTGCCAATACCATGTATTCCTAGAATAAAGAAATCATGCAAGCATAGTAAAGTACCTAAGAATAAGGAAAAGCAATACGATATGGTAATATAAAATAAGGAAATACTATTCAAGGTCAAATTTAAAGGTATCATCCGGGATCTGTAGCAAAACGTATTTCATGTCTGTGTGATGAATGAAAAGGAAATACAAGAGATGTCCATATGCTTCAATTGACTTTACTTTCTGAATTAATGTTATAAATGATGGAATTCCGAAGATCACTCACCATTTGACCACACCTCGTGACTATGCTGGTCCTCATTATTGCAGTAATGCAGTCGCCATCTATCGGAATTCGCACTGAAACACAAACAAATCTGAAGTCCATGTTGTAGTTTTCAACATATATTCCGATTTTCAACTTTCAAATGCATCTCATTAGAGGTCATAGACAGAGGGAGGACAAAAATCCTCCTTGAACATTAACCTCCTTGAACATTATAATTGACGAACGCATTTTCTACGTTGTCCACTAGGAAAATCAGTTTATTTATTACCCCTAAAATGAAAGTACATTGACCTTGCATGAAGAGCTGAATTGAGTAATACATGACGTCCTTTGAATGAAGGATGCTCTTACGAGCCATTAAAGGTATCTTCTGTAAAAACCACGGCTCTTAAAGACGTATATATTCATTATGAAATCATGATATGACAATAGAAATTAAATACAAATATTATACTTTAATGTGTTTATTTACTGTACATACGATTTTTCTAGCAACGCTAGATTAAATGGATAGAATGTATCGCCATCTCTTTCGACCGAAGTAATGTAGTCTCTAGCAGTTTTAGGAGTAGACATGAAATCGGTTACTAGAAAGCCTAAAATATAAAGAAGTTCTTCTATTTATAAATATCTATGCAAGATCGTCAATTGATGAGACTTGATAATGTTTCAATGCCGAGACGAGAATGTTGACCTTAATTAATTAAAGATCCATTTATTTATTTTTATCTATATATAATTTAAGTGTCACAAGTTCTGAAACAATTACAATGCAATGAAAAACAGACCGACAACGACCTATACGACACTGTAAAATACATGTAAATCATTAAATCAAACATTTTCTCGAAGTTTCAGCATTTGTTCAAAGGCCTTTGCAATATGAAGGTATATATACCGCTCATTAATTAAAAAAACAAAATCCCTGCCCATGTGTAAAAATGTATAGAATTTGATCTCAATAACTGCACATTTAACACGTGGGAGTATGTCATCTAGCACTGGGGGTAGATTGGTGAGGAAAATCATTTTGGAACACCCTGTATATCATATGACAGTGCCTGGTATTTGTTACTTTACCTCTTCCCTTCTTTGTACCAACGGTATCAGTTCCTCCATCCTTTGAAAGAACCTGTATGTTGAGCAGAACGCCTATTTTGTTCTGTGTAGAAAGGGACAACCAAGTTCCACCCTCTTTGCCTGCCTTTTGGTCTAGACCTGCAACATACACAATACATTAAGTTGTACTTTAAGAATAAGTATATATTTAAAAAATAAAATGTATCGGCTGTTTATGGGGAGCTAGGACGTTATACTTTCAAAATTCGTTTCAACATTAAGCTGATTAAATATTGGCTGCGTTTAATGGGATTACCTGAAGAAAATATGCTCAATAAATTATATTTGCATGACTTTGAAATGAATGGTTTAGGTTACTCTGGCACTTGGTCCAGTAAAGTTATTGATATATTAAAACAATGTGATTTATTTTCTCATTGGTTGACTCAAAATGTTGAAGAGGATTATATAATATTTATTCTAATGATCACAAAGAAATTAAAAAGTAATTATGCACTTCAATTGAAACAGGATATTCTTACTTTTCCTGTACTTAGAAGATATATAAAATTCCAAAATATTTTCACCAAAGAATCATATTTAAACATTCAAAACAAAAAGTAAAGACATGCATTAACTAGGCTCAGGATGAGTTCACATAAATTACAGATATAAGTTGGGCGGTATTCAAAACCAAAGCCAAAACCCACAAGTGAAAGGTTGTGTAGTGAATGTTGGGTAATTGAGGATGAGCTTCACTTTATCACAAGCTGTACAAGGAACAGAGAACATTTGTTTGAAACTTTAAAATCTGATCTGAAACAGTGCAAAGATCCGGATAAACTGTTTGAAACTATTATGTCTAGTAAAAACTCTCATGTTAACTTACATAAATTAGCCAAATTTGTATATCACTCTTTTAAAAATTTGGAAAGTGATTAATATAATGTAAACATTTTTTAAAAACACTTTTATTATGGATACACCACACTGATATTCTGCTGTCATACCCTTACATGTAAAACTGATGTGAACTAGTTTTGTAATATGTAGTTGTAGTTTGTAGTTTTTTGTACACTGTAGTGACTGATATGTCATTTACATGACATGGTTTTTGAGTCAATAAAATATATATAATATTGAGTTTATATCACTGATGATGATTTGAATTAAACAAAATATTCTATGTTTGATTCTAACCTTATAATACTTTCATGTGTTACATTTTAGTAAACTATATGTTTAAATACAACTTATTTAAGTTTTAAAGGTAAGGTATTAATATTAAAGGTATATATTAAAGGTATATATTAAAGATATATATTTAAGGTATATATCAAAGGTATATATTAAAGGTATATATTAAAGGTATATATTAAAGGTATATATTAAAGGTATATATTAAAGGTATATATTAAAGGTATATATTAAAGGTATATATTAAAGGTATATATTAAAGGTATACAGGGTGTTTCATAATGACCGTCCCCCCATCCACAGGCAATCCTACTTCACATGCCCCCATAATCTATATACCATAATAAAGTGTATTCAATTCTGGACTTATGTGCCAAATATTAGAATGCCTGGTCTTTGAGAACATAATTTGTGAACTTATATTTTGTAGCCACTATCCCCTCAATTTGCATGATTTGTGGCTACTATTCCTGATGGATTTAAAGAGAAAAGCAGATCCCTATATTATCCATTGTATCATTTAGAGCTCTCTGGGCATTTCTTTGAACTATTTAATACTTTTATCTTTCAAATATCATCAAGATATATCTTCAACATCCATCAAATGTTAGAAGTTGTACATTACTATACCCAATAGTGTATTGAGGCATGGTTATCATAGCTGTTTGCAGGGTACATGGCTAATTTTGGAAAAATGTGGGTTTCAGATTCTATGCTAAAGGTAAAATGGGTACCTTTTATAGAGATATGTAGCAAGTTGTAAAAAATGTTAAGCTTAATCAAAGTTGATTCAATAAGTCTAGAATTGACCAAGCTTTCATATGATATATAACACATGGGGGTATGCTATTCAGGATTGGTGGTTGATGGGGGGACGGTCATTATGAAACACCCTGTATATTAAAGGTATATATTAAAGGTATATATTAAAGGTATATATTAAAGGTATATATTAAAGGTATATATTAAAGGTATATATTAAAGGTATATATTAAAGGTATATATTAAAGGTATATATCGTATACTGATCTCTCACCGCTTATACAATGAGGATCATCATTCCAAAATCCAGCAGGCTTTGTCGGTCGCTCAAAGTATTCATCCCGATTGTTTGCAATAATCACCTGGTAGCCATCATCTTTAGGGTTGTCACTAATAGCGACAAAAAGTATACACATATTGCTTGCAGTATATATAACTGAAATTTTAAAGTTGAGTATCCCGAAGCGTTGATCGCAAAGAGTAATAATGTCCAACTGTGTTTGTATTATCAACTTAATAGTTGATATGCGTCCAAGTTACATAATTGTGAAAACTTGCATTTGGACTCAAAAAATCAAGCGTCAGTGTATTCATCATCATCTTCCCCAATTATATACATGATATGAATCATGCAAGTAGCTTATCAAATTCTGAATTATTGAACTTAAATGACCATCATTATTAAGTTAAGGACATGCAATAATAATTCCGAGGCACATGGGTTTGTTTGTTAGATATAGAATGTAAGTGAATTAAAAGCTAATACCTTATAACAAATTATTGTGATATTTCAATGTGTTAGCTTTTGCTACCAGTTAACTGACGAAAAAATGTAGTCTTACTTTGTATTCGCGAATGCAACTAACGCCTGTTGGCTACCGGATTTAATTATTATTTTATTGGCAAATAATTTAAATATGTACAGTACCTGTCATTATTCCATTCATATTTAAATGAGTTGCCCATAAAATAGTAGGTTAATCCGGTAGCCGACAGGTGTTACAGGTAGTTGCACTCGCGAATACAAACTTAGATCTCATATGATATGAACAAAATGAAGGTATGATACCTAATCGTGATATCTAACTTCTAATAATTATTCGTATTCTCACTTTAACCCTGATGTTGCCTTATTTAAAGTATTCTGCGGCGATTAACCGGTGGCATTTATCAAACGAATTACATGATGACGGATACTGTATAATTAACTGGAGAGGGCGTCGACCTTAAAGGAATATTCCTTGCAAAACCATCTCTCTCCTCATATATCTCTCTCCAGTTAATTATACAGTATCCGTCATCATGTAATTCGTTTGATATGCCATGTTTAGCAAAACACAGAAAAATGTTTTGATATGGTCGAATTTGATCACTTAGAAATGTGATGCTCAATTCCAGTAAGCTGCCATCTTTTAAAATTTCACACAGGAAGTGATGTCATCGACTCTCAACTTTGCATATAGCATTAGGTGAGGAGCTATTAAGAATTACAAAAATTATTTAAACCAGCTAAATATTCTTTTTTCAACTTTGTATTTTATTTAATCCTTCTGAAAATCTCTTCTTTTATTCTAAGTTGACAAGCCCTGAAAATATTTTTGCACAGAAAGTAATAATCACTTGTCTAGTAGTGATTTTGTGCTACTTTCCTATACTGTTATGGGCAAGGTTATAGAAGTTGAGAGTTGATGACATCACTTCCTGCAAGAAATCTTAAAAGATGGCAGCTCACTGGAAATAAGCACTAGATTTTTAAATGATCAATATTGACCATATTAAAACATTTTCCTGTTTTGCTAAATATGGAAACTATATATATGATTTTATCCCACCCTAAGTGCTTTATATGATTGTATAATAGCATTGTATAACTGCAATATAAAACCAACACTCATCGTATACAACTATTGAGAACGATGTACAACTCCTGGATAGCGTATACAACTCCTAGGCAGCATATACAACTCTTCGACTTGATATACAACTGCTGAATTTAGAGTAATATTTTATTGATTGAAGATTAGGGTGGGATAATAAGATCATATAATGGTTGATTCTGTATATCGTTATACTCTCGTGAGTATATGATATATTCACTCGTTCCCTTCAGTCACTCGTGAATATATCATTATACTCACTTGAGTATAAACACGATATACGGAATCAACCATTATATAACCTCATAATAGCTACCATATCAAGAGAGAAAGGGTCTGGCAAGGAATATTCCTTTTATATTTCAAATCATTCAACATAAACAAAATGTTTTGACATGTGTCAATGAACTCTTCGTTATAGTTATATGACGAATGCTTGCCAAAACTAGAGTGAAGCTTTTATTTCAAAACCATCCATTCTCAATAAGAATGCAAATTCCAGGTATGAATCTGACAAAAAATAAAGTAGCTTCAAATGGTTTAAAGTTGATGTATTTCTATTTGAATATATGTTAAGTATCTAAAGTGAAAATATCTTCATCAATCTCATACCCCTTCATGGAAAAGTCTCATGTTGAAGCTTATCTAGTATTCATTTAAAAATGTCTCTTAAAAAAGTCTCTGTCATTTACGTTATAGGGGGTTGTCGAAGCAAGCGACCTATATTTTCATTCAACATATTATTCTCATGTCTGTTTTTGTACCTAACAATAAGGATATATTTTGCCTTAATACTAAATCATACATCAGGCATTTTGAAGATACACAAGTGGAAGGAATTCACATTGAAGTCAACAATTACATGTGACTTATTATTCCTTTTCACAAACAGAACCTAAGTGCTACATGTCATTCCAATTTTATAAAAACTCAGTTTCATAACATTAAATTTATATTTCTTTTCTGATTAGAAATAGTGTTCAGAATAAAATGATAGCCGTATCTTGGTGTTTGATATGCCATACAAAATGTATTTGAGATTTGTATATCGTTACACCCTTGGTAACGTATATAATCCAAAAAAGTAACATCGTAGAATGAGTCATATCATATGTGATCATGGTTAAACCATCAACTGGTGCTTCTTTTATCATGTTTACACTACATTTTAACCAATAGTAACATTTAAAAAACATAGTTCTGTGGACCATCATGTAACGTAAATGATGGTGAAATTAACTAACTTTTGCAATAGAAACATTAAAGCTAACACAAACATTATTTATGCACAAAACACGTAATGAATTAATATATTGTCACATACGCTATATGTTGGAATGAATATATACAGGATTAAAGGGACATAATCTTTCTTCACACATTTGTAATGCTAAATCCTTTGTAACGTAAGTGATTACAAAACTTACAATCACAAGATCAAAACTATACTATATAATCTGTGATTATCGTCAAAAAGTAACGACATTCAGTGTCTACTCTTATATCATAGGTACATATGAACTCCTGAAAACGTTTCTAAATCCTAGCTTGGACATATAGATCCCATAGAACATGAGTTTAAATCTCAGGACACAGATCTAGAGTTTAAATAGCCCTTTAAACTTCCCAGTTGGGATTGACTCTTCTACTACACACTCAAAATCTGAGACTCTCAGCCAAATAACGTAACATTCTAGAGACCATTGGAGATTCTTCTTTTCCTAAAAAATAGTATTTATCATCATCAGTATCACATGCATGCAGTGCCTTTTCGACATACCAACAGTATTGTAAACTGCAGTGAAAAAAATCGCCAAGATGTAGCTCTTTATCTCCACTCTCAGTCCGCATGATGGCCCTGTCAGAATACTCTTGGTTGTCTCTTCTTGTATGTCATTCCTGGTTCGTTTCATTTTGTGCGGTGCACTTTTAACACTGTTTATTTGCTTCAACAAAATATTCATTTGCTTGTTGTAAACGTCGAGTACTCATTTCATTTTTGTCCAGCCAGGCAAGGCCCTTAAGCTTGTATCATCTTCCATCGCATTTAGTAATATTATATCAACTAGACTTGAACACTTTTCAGGCATTTCCCCGCCAGTCATGTTGCGTCTGCTTCGCCTCTTCAACTACGTGTTTTCCTCGTAGTAATCTTCTCCTCAACTCTAGGGATATCACTATGCTAAAGTTTGCATCGCATCACTTTTCCCCTGCACTCTTTGGTGTTTTTGGCGTGCTTGGACCCTTCATTCTATTTTTCTCTGCTTCTGTAAGATCCTTGGGAATGATTTGTGATTGTTTTTTCCCTGTTTATCTATGTTCAGGGAGCTTTGTTTTCTTATGGCTACTTACGTCCCCAAGTTCTACTTATCCATTTTCTAAAGAGCCATGCATGTCCTCTTGCAAAATTCCAGGCAAAATTAATATGAACTATAAATTGTGTGTTACTTGTACCACTGTCATAAACACGGTCACAATCATTGTTATCGGCATTACTTGGGTCATTGCTAAGAGTTTTCTTCTTTTTGATTTGTCTCCTGTATTATTACGCTATCTGAGACTAACATAACATGTCTCGGACGCAATGACATATTTTTTTCTTTTATGGTCTTTATCTTTTCAGATAGTGCACGCAGCTATTAAGACAATGCATTTATGAACCCGAGCACGCTCTATTTGGTGCTTTTTTCCTATCACGATAGTCTTCTTGAATTTCAGCAGGATGCTTTCCCATCTACGAAAAGTACAAGTTGATAAATGAACATATCTGTAAAGATTTGACTATAGAAAATGTGTGCAATAGAATTTATCAATTACGTTACTATGGGTAACGTAATTTATGACATAGAAAACGCAAGACTATAGGTTCACTTCAAAATGAATGATAGAAAAGTGTTTTTATGTTCATTTTCACATTTATACCGACTGTGTTTATGCCATAGATAACATCAAATTAACACTACATCTTCTTTTAACAAGAGAGATACTATATTAGGTGTGATATTTACCTTAAATTGTGTGGATTTACTCTAAAAAGGTGGTAGTGTTTCTTTATTTAGATTCAAATGAATATGGATACTCAAATTTCCCGCTTTATAAACTTTATTCAGAGCTAGGAATATGGTAACCGTTATTTTCGTACTACTAGGTATCGTAAATGATGGTGTCGTAAATGATGCAAATACCCTTTTGCTGGCTGTATTATATTCAAACAATGTAAATTTAGTTAAAAATACTGATCAGCCAGGGTCACTCCTACCATACAATAAGGTGATATAACATTAATATGCTCAGACACTTATTGCCTGTGGAAACTATGATCACGTAAATGATTTTCTTATCTATAACTTCATGAAAAACGGGAATTATAATTTTCTGGCCCCCAAATCTCAACGTTTCAAATATCAACTTGTACGACGTTCTATTAAAGAGAGAATCAGAGATAGCGAGCAGGCTAAACAAAAAATTGTTTCATTTTTAGATTATTTTTGGCTTATGTCATTCCTTGTCATGTCCATTTTCTAAAAATCACAAAAGTG